AGTGAAGAATGAGCCCCATGGGCAAGAAACGAGGGGCTATATAGTGGGGAAAACATGGGCGAGGGGCTATATAGTGGGGAAAACAGGGCTCAAACCGGTCCTGGACTAGGGACTACACTAGAGAGGCTCAAAACGGCTAAGGGCTAGTCCTAAGGCATCTCTCTCTCTCTCTCTCTATCTCTCTCTCTCTCTCTCTCTCTCTCTCTCTCTCTCTCTCTCTCTCTCTCTCTCTCTCTCTCTCTCTCTAGCAGTCCTTCATTGATTACGATCAAGGTACAGGCAACGCAAGGCAAGGCAAGTGGGAACCATCCAGCCTAGTATGCAGTCTAGCCATATGGCGAGCACGCTAACAACCAACCCCACTGCTAGGCTACCAACCACCCCTAGCCTGCTAGTAGGCCCGATTTGCCATGGCCAACCGAGTGCCTGACCTCCTAGTATCGATGCCCCTGGGCCTCCCTACCTCGGCCCCTTACCCATCCAGGGCCGGCCCCCAGTCCAGGTCGTCTTCCAGGACCTGCCAGAGATCCCCCAGGCGCGGCTCCCATGGGTCTGCTGGCGCCTGTGGGAAGGCCCTTTCCGTTGTCCTGTTAGACTTGGCTAGCAGGGTGTTGTCCTGGCTTCGCTGCAGCATTACCGAGAAGCGCTGCCGGTAATGTGCAGTGAGCTTGGAGGCAAGTGTAGTGAGCCTCCCCTGCCTGTACTTTTCTTGGCCGCCGATGTTCCGAGCATGCGCAGGAACCTCTGGGTGTCCCGGGCCAGGGCACCGTATGTTTCCACCGCCAAGCCAAGCACTCCAACAAACTCCGGCCGTCCCTCGTACATTGCCCTTTTTCCCCTAGCCCCATCCTCTGCCGCCCACCCCGGTGGCTTCAATGCCCTTGTGTCTCGACGCTGCAGTACTGGATCCGTCACTATGACATCGGTTACAAAGGTTTCAGCTGACTCCTTGTCCTTGATGACCAGGTCTGCTCGCTTGGGGTTAATTATTTGCGAGAAGGTCGTGGTTTCATGTGCGGTCATGTAGTCAGCTTCGTTGGCCATCCTTAGTGCCGCGTATACCAGGTTGTTGTGCGTGTTTGTCATATCCTTCCCCTCCGCACATCTCAGCAGGTGGTTGGGGAGGCTTCGGTCCCCTATCTTGGACCGTCTCTTCCCACACGGGCAGTTGTCTGTCACTGGTAGGGTCAGGCCGAGCCGGAAACCCAGGGCCATTGCGAACTGCCCCGGTGAGAATGTGAGGTCCGCCCGTGTGGGAATGGCATGGAGCCAGTCCCCTGCTCCCACTCCCTGCAGACTGATGAGGTGGACAACGTGGCTGTTGTCTTCGCCTGGCTTATCAACCCGCGTGTCCCCCACCAGCTCCGCTGCCCTGTCCACGTTAATCAACCTGGAAAGTTGCTTCTGCGGTCGTCCTTTCCCCTCTCCGCCCCGATCCGATTCCCGTAGCAGCTCCCTGGTCGCTTCGGGGAGTCTGTTCCGTAGGTCCCTAATAGAGGACCCATTTACCCCTGCAGCTCCGTCCCCGTGTGGTGACACCAGTGCTGCTACGCTCTGCAGGGGGGTAGCTGGGGCCTGCCGACACGTGCTGTAGGAGAATCTGCGCCACCTGTAGTGACGCCAGGTATGCCGCAAGTGCCTCTGAGAGTGGGTCTATGATTCCCAGGCCCCCTAGCGCAATTGGCAGAGTCGCCTGACTCCACACCAGGCTGTTCTCCAGTTCCTTGCTCGGCGTGTGGAGGTATGCCGCTTTTAGCGCTGTCCACAGGAGTCTCTCGCTCCATTCTCTCCATTCCCTCCGGGGGAGCACGTCCGCTGGTGTTGTTCGCAGGAGGTACGAGATCCTGCGCGAGATGCACCGAGAGAGGATTAGTAGCGCGTGCTGCGGGTGGAGTTTCCCGACGAGCCCCAACGGCGCCGCCGTAGACTCGAGTGTCCCCCTGATGGTGCGTTGGCAGAATGACGTAGTGCCGATTGGACTCCCTAGCACTCGAACCCCGTCCACTGCCGTTGCCAGGCCGTCCGGGAGTCGTCCTGTAAATCCCGACGGGCTCCAGGCGGAAGACTTGGCGAGGTTGCACCGTAGGCCGCAGGTCCTCAAGTCATCCCGTATCTTGTTAAGCGCTCTTGCTGCCTTCGCCGGTTCGCTCACAATCGTGATGTCGTCTGCGTATGCCATCACGGTCACCGTTGGGTCCACCTCTGCTGCCGCCAGGAGCGCTGGTTGGATGGCCGCCGCAAATAGCATTGGTCCCAGCGGGTCTCCTTGCCGCACTCCCCGCGCACTGATGATGTGAGGTGTATCGAACCCGCTGTCCAGCAAGAGTTTAGATGGGGCGCCGTAGAATGTGCGTGCTAAGGGCATGAGCGACGCCAGGCCCGTCCATTGTAGCGTCGTGAGGAAACTTCCGCGCTCCACAGAGTTGAACGCGTTTTCGATATCTAACTGTAGGATCACCCTCGTAGGCTCCTCCGCTAAGAGCGCCCTCGTCGAGTGAATGATGCACTCCGCGCCTCCGGGCACCGGCACTCCAAATTGTACAGGTAGGAGGTACTCCCGGATTTCCCCCGCCAACTCCCTAAGCGCTGCCTTGGCCGCCACTCTGAGTAGTGCCTCCCCTATCGCGATTGGTCGGACACCTCCGTCTGGCTTCTCCAAGGCGATTAGCCGGGATGGGAGTAGCGGCTCCTGTACTGCCTCGTTCTGGTAGGTGCTTAGCAACCGATTAACTAATCTGTGAAGGAGTGCGAAGACCTCCCAGTTGGTTAAGGCAGGGTCTCGTAAGTGCTCGAAGCATGTCCCAGATGGCCCCGCTCCTACCCCGTTTGGACATTTTGCCAGCACTTATTGCGAGCACTGATTGCGAGCTCGGAAGTTGCGTAACCTGTGATACCTTCCGGTGTCGCCAATTCCTGGGCCGGTGTTTCGAGAGGAGGGCTCCCAGTGTTGTTTGCACATGCTCGGCCAGTGGCGAGGTGTGTAGCGCTGCTGTTGCCTTCGCCAAATTGGCTTTCCGTACCAACCCTTCTGCTCTGGCACAGATCCCTTCAGGGTCAGGTTCGTGCCTATCCAGTTTTGAGTTTGGGGGGAAGGTGCTGGCCTGGGTGTACAGTGCGTCCCACTCCTCTTCTCGGAACTGTCGAAGGCGGGCCTCGACTGCCTGCCATCTGTTTCCTGGGGCTGTGTCCATGCCTGCCCGCAATGTAAGCCTGGGGAGGTATTGCAACATTCGCCACGCGCCGAGGCAGTCTGGGTGCTTCGAAAGTCGCAGGATAGGTACGGTCAGGCAGTGGCTGTACACTTTCAAAATATCTGGTGGCAGTCTCCTGATGAGGAACGGCTGTGCGCTGGCGCGCAGAGGTCCCAGATCCCAATCCAACACCTTGTGCCACGCGTCCTCATCCTCCTCGATCTTCAAAGGCGCCCTCTCCTTGCTGTCGGCCTCGTTGGCTCTTTGGGCCTCTGATTCGCCCCCTTGCGCGTTCTCCCTTCCCTCATCCCGCCCCTGTCTGCCTCCACGTCGTCTCCCCCTTTCCATATTTGTGGGGATTCCCTCTTCCGCCTCGACTGAAACGTCCTCTGATTCCTCCTCCGTTTCCTCCCTATACTCTGGCCCATCCTCTCTGGCAGGCTCATTCATTGGTTCAACTCCAGTTTCCTCTGGCCTCCCGTGTCGTTCCCGCCAGTTTCCATATCTGGCCTTCTCTCTCGCCACAGCTCTCACCAGCTCTCCCACGCGCCCGCCTCTGCCTCGCCCTCGTCCGCGGCCTCCTGCGGCCGCCCTCGCCGCCGCGTTTTGCGGACGATGGCCCGTGGCTAGATCGTCCGCCCTTTCCTGGAGTACTCTCTGCCGGCTCGTACCCGCCCTCTTTCTTCGATCTGCGGCCTGTGTTGCCAACAACGCTTCTTCCTCGTGGGCCGCGTCCTCCGCCTGCTCTGCTGCCCGTTGCTCCAACTCCAACTCCTCTCGTTCGACGTGCCGCTGCTGCGATGACGGGCAAGCGCCAGCGGTGGGAACGGGCTGCGAGGCAATCTGCTGTTCCCAACCCGCCTGAGGACCGGGATGAGCTGGCGCCAGTCCTACTCCGAGCCGCCGCTGCCCTAGTCTCGCGTGAAGGGGCCGAAACTCCCTCTCGGCCGCGCGAGCCTGTCTACCACTCGCCCCGCGGGCGTACCCATCCTCATCTGCGGGCCCGGGGCGGTACCTGTCGTCGTCGTCGTCCGCCTCGCCCTCCGCCGTCACTTCAGCGGCAGATTGTCGGTCCGCATCTGAAGGCGCCCTCTCTTCCCGTGCCTCAGCCGCCTCCTCCTCTCCTTCCTCCCGTGTCATCTCAGCAGTCCTCCCAACAGCATTCCTCCCAGCAGTAGTCATCTGTTCCCGCTGCCTCGTCCCCTCTGGTGGCCCCGCCTGCCTTAGCATCAGTACCGCTAGCGGCCCCGCCTTCTGTCCATCCTCCGGTTGCGGTGCCTCCGCCGCCAGTGTCGCCCGTTGAGGCACCTCTCGTGCCTCGCTGTCCTGCTCATCAGCCTGACGTTGCATATCTACCCTCTGAGCTTCCTCAGCGGCAACATCCCCTCGTTCCCGCTGACCCTGCTCCTCCCGCTCGCTTCCCTCCGCCTCGTGCCCCGTCTCCTCCGCTTCCGCCCGACGCGCCTGATCCTGAGGATGACGAGAAGTAGTGGAACGGTGAGCTGTGGGAGTCTCCTCCTCAGCCCGGGACCATGTGGGCTCGTGACTGGGACGCCCGGTCCGACTTTGTGCTTGATGTCCTCCACTCGGAGCGTCGCATGCTGGGTGTTGGAGCAGCTGCATGCTGGTCTTGAGGCGCGGAACTTTGTGCTGCGGGATCCCCAGCTGAACGAGCAGCAGCAGGGTGTTGTCCGTGCGGCTGCGGCGCAGGGCTTGTGGAGGCTCCTCCGCTTGCCCCTCGAGCCCGAGAACCCTGACGAGGACGAGGGGTCGGGAGCGAGGGCTTTCCGCAGGGTCGCCACGGCTGCCGAAGAGGCGCCCCTACAGCTCGTGTCTACGCTCGCGTCCTTGCTCCGGTGGATCCGCCGGCGGTTTTACGTGTTGAACTACGTCTGGGCTTGTCCCTGCTGGCCCTTGCCGATCACCTTTTTGCTCCCCATCTTCTCCCTGTCCTACTTACCTTGCCCTTTAGTTTTGGGCATAGCTACTGCTGCATGTTGTGTGTACTGCTAATGATGATTGTTGCTTGTTCCTTGCCACCCCTCACGCGAGCCGCCGATTTTGCAGTGAGAGTGAACTCACCACCGAACAATGAGGATATGAGGGGGCTTCTCGCCCTTATATACCAGAGGGCTAGGCTTGGATGGCTAAAGACTGTGCTAGGCTAAGGACTAGGCTGGTCTAAGGAACTAGACTGCAATCTCTCTCTCTCTCTCTCCTCTCTCTCTCTCTCTCTCTCTCTCTCTCTCTCTCTCTCTCTCTCTCTCTCTCTCTCTCTCTCTCTCTCTCTCTCTCTCTCTCTCTCCTTTGCTTGGAAAAGCAGTTTCGTTGGTGGTTTTCTTGTTTCGTTATAAGTGTTTATCAGCTTGTACCAACGACGATGCGTCACTAGCGAAGATGGCGGCCGGGAACGCTCCTCTCGTGTTTCTCCAAAAACTCCCCACGACTCTCCTCCTCTCCTGCCTTCTCCTCTCGCTCGCTCCGGTGCGCGCGAACGACTTGGACTGCGTAAAGGACGCCAACAAAAAGGTTGTCGTTTTGAGCTACTGTAATGGCGATGGATGGCGCTACTCGTGCCTCTACGGCGGCAGCTACTCCCCCGACGGCTCGGGAGAGTGCACGCTCGTAAACGCCGGCGGCTACTCCCCCGACGGCTCGCTGTACTACGAGGAATGCGAGGGGAACCTGCGCGCGCTTTCGCGATGCTGCGATATAGACCTCTCTGGTTACGAGTTAAGCGCTTGTGGGGAATTAGCTTATTGCAGTGTTTGGGGAGCTCCTACTGTTCTGACTTCGGTTACGCGCAGGATAACAGGGGGTGGGTTCAAGGGGATTGCTCCTTACTGGTATAACGAGTACGCCTATGTGAAAGGTTACGAATACTGCCCCGAATCCAGTGGAACGATGCTATGCGTGCTCGTGCCCCTCGCGCGCAGCGGCGGCGGAGTGCAGCTGCGCGAATTAGAGCCCCCCCGGGACGAATCCGCCGCTCATGCGGCGAAGACCAAGATGAGTCGCTGCCTGTATGGAAGCGGGCGCCCGTGGTATCATCGAAGAAAAGGTTTTCACCCGAAATGGCGTTGAGGGGTTTTTTTTACTGAAAAGCTTTGGAAATGTATACCAAAGTATCCGGAAAGTTGCGATCGTCAAATTGCAACCTACCCCCACTTCGCACACTTTGATTTTTGCGCCTTGGGAAACGAAGCGCAAGTGTACAATCTGTGCTGAATTGGAAGGATGTCCGCGGCTCGACAAATGGAAAAGAATCATCAACATTAGTTGACTCGGTAAGATACAGCAGCGTATATAGTTGCATAAACATGCACAACCAGAAGCACACGACCAGACTCGACCACTTGTTTCAGAATTGCATGCAGCTGCAAGACGGTGACGACGCACGAAACCTAGATACAACTCGCCAGATGTTCGCAAATGAGATATTGTAAACGAATGAATCTTCAGCGTTCCACGTCACTGCCACACGTCCCCCTCTAAACCTCCCACCTCACCAAACCTCAACCTTGCAAATCTTTCCATCCATTCGGTGTTGTGTGCATGAATCAAAATCAGCACTCAGCAACCTCCCTCACCCACACACCACCACACCTCCAACTGCTATATATCTAGTTGAAAACACACACATTTGTTCGTTTCATCCCTAGCATCCGGTTTGTATCACTCTCCCAACTCCTGTTGTTATTCTTACGAGAGCTTCTCTTCTCACGTGCTAGGTTTCTTGTATTCTCTTGGAGTGTCCAGATGTACTGCCTTAGCTTGCAACCATCCAATTTCCCTTTTTCTGCCGCCCCTGCCATCATCCCCTTTCTTATCCCATTTCAATCAGCTGCGTCTTCTTCATGTGGAGAACGTGAAGCTTACGAATCTGTGCGGATTCGCCAGCTTCAGCGCGCTAAGCGTCGGCGTCAGAGAAATCGGTGTGGGACGAGTCGCCAGCGACGACGATTTCTCGCCCGCCTACTTGCGGCATGTAGGTAAGCAACCGCATGTGGGGCATGCGTTGTGATAAACGGGAGTAATTGTAAGAGAAGTATCGTGCAGGGTAAGTAACCCTAGAGTTTATGGGTGATTACGATCACGGCAATGATTGTCTAAATCCTTCCTATACTCTCGAGTCGGGTCGTTATTTACTTACTCTCCAACAGTTATAATCACTCGCTCAGAAGCATCTCTTCTCTCCCTCGAATGTATTTATGCATCTCCTGGTTTCACTATCCTGGAAACTGTTGCTATGCACTAATGACGCTGCATGCTTCCCTCCACCCCCTCCCTAATCTCCCTGTTTCTAGCCACGTAACCGTTACGAACCGCCAGACGTTTCGATACGAGACACCACCGTCGGTGTTGCCATAGTGGAATATGTGAGCCAACAACACCACGCCGTGGGACTCCTGCAGGGAAACCGAGTAAGAGGTATGAGAAACGTCGATCAGAGTAAAGGCACGCTATTGCTTGTCTCTTGTACCTATTTCGCGCATTTCACGGTGTTGACATAACGTGTACGAGTAATCTGGCTTTGTGCCTATAACATCACGTTTTCTCTATTATTTTGTCTAGCAGGATTGATTGTTTGACTTTCTGTAACAGTATGTCACTACAGAATCTTTTACTGATCTCGAAATTTCAAGCAACCCAGGTAATCAATGAATGGTGGGGTCTTTCTTTGCTTTGTCTTACGTTCATCACTTTTCTTGCAGGGTTTGTGGCTAATGATGTGTTTTAGGATTAGATATGTTCACTATTATCGTTCAAATGTACTGCTCACAAACATGTATGCAATGTGAAGAATATTGTAATCTGAAATAATAGCCACATGTGCGTATACCGTCACCAAGAAAGACATGCGGAAATGCAAGCACCTAGATGAAAGCTGCGCATCTGTATGCTCATTCGTGCACCTGTAATATTCACTTTCCGCACACATGTAGATCATGTCTCATTGGTCCACCTGGCAAGCCGTCAATCACATGTCGAGGTTGACATTTCGCAAGCTTGCGTGACAAAATATATTTTCGAACGTACGGTGTGCCACGTGGCATGCCTTGGAAGTCACCTTGAAGTAACTGAAATGTATACGTCAGGTTGCACCTAGGTGTACGCTTTGCGTCAGAAATATGTTGGATTTGTATTTGAAAAGTTGCAAGGAAGCAACCCCAATTTTCCGATGCTTTCGAGCTTGACTTGGAAATTGCAGGAGGCAGTATCTAGAAAGCAACTTTTCTACAAGTTTTCAGCAGCCTTTCCGCAATCCTTTTTTCGGGAAGGCTCCCCCCAAGATGTATAACCGCCGCCTGTATGGAAGTGGGCGCCCCATGTACAGCCGCCGCTTGTATGGCAGTGGGCGTCTCTGGTCCCCCCCCATGATGTATAGCCATCGCCTGTATGGAAGTGGGAGGCACTGGTACCCGTAGTAAGCAGATTCGAGATTTGCAGGGTGGACCAATAGAGATTGAAGTGACACCAAAGTGGGTTTGAAGATTTGAGAAGTGAATGATACTGTTTCTGGTTTTTGTTGGAGATAAGTTGGTTGGGGTTTTGACATTGGGTATGCCCAGCCAACCATTTCCATGTGGCAGTGTGATTACGTTATCACAGAGCACTCTGTATGTGGACGATTGTTAGATTGGTGGTGGTTGATTAGTTATGGGCCATGAATAGTTAAGATGTTTGGGGTTCTTGATGTCAGCCAAACTTAGGGGGGTGGGCAGAGCGTGGACACAGATTAGATAACTTCCTGGTATTGTTTGTTTGTTTGTTTTTATATATATATATATATATATATATATATATATATATATATATATATATATATATATATATATATATATAGTTGGCTGCTGCAATATTGGGTTTCAGATACCCTTTGTTATGTTTCTTTCAGCTATTTGATTTTTTTTCTTTGTTTTTTTTTCTTCTTTTTAAGAAAGCTCATACAACAGGTATATGAGCAAAGCGCTACAGTCGTAACTGTTTCTTCAGGGCTCAAGCCAGACTAACCTAGCCCTCCCTGCGACACTACGATGGCTTCACAAACATCTTCGGGTTCGACCAGTTGGACTGGAAGCACCCTTGCCACCTCAGCCCCACTGCCTCACTGTCGCAAATCCTCCGCATGATACGTGCCTCGTCCTCTGCCATATTCCACCGTGCCTTATCCTTCCTGTCCTGCTTGCTCAGCCTGCTACAATACACCTTTGCATGCTTGTTGAATTCCACATTTATCCTCTTGAGCGTCTTCCGAGCATGAAATTTCGCCACCTTCTTGAGTGACACATCACACCTTCCGAGCCAGATTTGATGAACAGAGATCGCCATCATCGTCGATTCTGGAAAACCTGACCTTGTCTCCTCCGCCACAAATAGGAGATCCGTCTCGCTAGCTGCATCATGTTCAGCGCCGACTTGACCGCAGCCACCACCAGTGCAATGCGCGGGCATTCCAACAGGAAGTGCTCTAGTGTCTCTACCCCCCCGCAGTGCGGACATGTCACCCCTCCCCCCAGGAAAGAGACCCTCTCCCCCACCTGGAGGTTGAGATTCTGCACGCGCAGCAGGACATCTCTCGCCTTGGCCGGGATCGCGAGGAAGTCTCTGACGTGCCTCCCCCGTTCCCAGAAAATTTTACTGCCCGCCCAAGCTTCACTTCGCTCGTTTCTCCGCAACTGCCTCAGCCCCTTTGCTCAACTCCTTGCAAACCTGTTGAAATTTTATATTCCCTTCATGTTTTTAGCTTGTGGTTCTTATATTCTACAACTCATCTGCGGATGTGTCAGACGATATCACATCATTAGACGGCCCTCCTATTTTCTATATGGTTCCTATTTTCTATATATTTGTATTTTTTTTTTTCAGGTGCAGTTGACCCCCACAGAATTTTCTCTCGTCTCTTGCAGAATCTATCGATATTTTAAACAAATCCGGA